AATTGGAGATTAGATTATTTCTACATCCCGTTTGCTTGTAGAAATTAAGGTGTAGCACCAGGTCCTCTAATTCAGGGCCCAGAAAGATCTACAGGTAGCTGCTTGAATTCATTGTGATGACCTGGCTGTAATAACAAAGTTAATAAAGGAATAACTATTGTCTATTACAATGATTTACACTTGGGAGAGTTTTAGTACCATATTTTATAAATCAGTGGAATCAACAAGGGGACCTGTGAACCCTTAGGAATCATCTACTTGGGAAAAGGAGGGAGAAAATAAGTCATGGGAAATTATTAATAACTTTTAAAAATCCTCAAGAGGTTATATTATTTACCAAGAAATTGGCTGGGACATTTTGCTTTAAGAAATAATTTAAAGACTGAAAAGCAAAAGTGAGGAAAAATAGCCCCACCTGGGAATAGAGAAGTATTCACATCAGGCTCCCTTGGCATCCAGGCCAGGCCTGCTCACCTTTAATGATGTAGCAAGATTTGCAGGTGTCACTCAGCACCCGAGGATAAGGGTGGTTACAACAGGGGACGTGAGCAACAAGAAGTAAGTAAAAGCTGTGCAAGTGTGAAAGATGGTGGATGAACTGTGTGAAACAGATATTTGGAAGAAATAGTTTAAACTTATATAGTTATATCTGCTTTTAAAATGTTCTATATAGTAAAGTGAGGTGTAAACAAATTAATAAAGGTACTGAACTATAGATGATGAGGTACAAATTGCAATCTAGGAAAGGGATTTAAGTGTAAATTGCTATACAGAGACATCTAAGCCATGTATTAAGGAAAGCTGGCTGCTATGTCTTCTTTCCCATGACTTTTCCATTATTTCCTCTTCCTCAGAGAGAGACAGAGAATGAGAACAAAGCAGTGTATGTGTGTTTATGCATGTATGTGTGTATATGGGCAAGACTGCATAACAATATTATACTGACCTACATTCCCAAAGCCACACATGAGCCCTGTCAGTACTCAAAACAACCTTAGCTATAAACTTTTAAACTCCAAATATTTCATTTTCAGACTAGAATGTTTTATTTTCCCCTTTTCCTATGCTTTGATCCCACTGAAACTGTTTCCTGCTTCACTGAGCTCTGTCCTCCTAATTACCCGTTACCCCATTTTTACTTCCCTTGAAGTCCAGCACAGACCAGATGGCTGTTCAAATGAATCACAATCCTATAATCTATTTCCTCCCTCCTACACCTGGGTTATTGAACGATGCTGGAGGAAAACAGTAATGCGAACTCACACAGGCATGAGCTCCCCTGAACTGCCCTCTTTCCCTCACTCAGAAAAGGATATTTCTTTCTCTTGAATCTCAGAAGACTGATCATGTCTCATTTTCTTTTGTTTCCCAAGAATTGTGCCTCTTATTGGTGAACTTCATAGTTTAGGAAGTTACTCTGGAGACCATATGAATGATTACTAAGACAGGGTGCAAGGACGATGGGAAGCTGTTGTAGGCCTAAGGGGTAATGACAACAGCACCAGGAAGAAGTGAGTGACTTTGAAAGAGGTGTGGGCAGCTGAATCACAGGAACATGATAATTAGTTGCAGGCGAAATGAGAGTGGGAGTGAGTGTGAGGCAGGAAGATTTTTGGTTTGAACAACTAAGTGATGATGTCTCTAATTGATACAGGAAAATGCTTGGGAGGAAACCCAGGTTTAGGTAGAAAAACAATAGAAAGACCCACTCAGAATATACGAAGTTTGAGGTGGCTGTGAGATTTCCAGGTGGAAATGGCTGGGGAGCATTGGATGGGAAGTGTGCCATTCAAAAGCAGGCTCTGAGGTGGAGATGGAAATTCAGAAGATGGCTCCATAGGAATGATATCTGAATTCAAGTAGTGGAGGAAGTTATCCAGGGAGAGGGAACCGAATGAAAATGGAAGAGGAATCTGTTCTGTGGAACTCTTACAAATGGATGCTTGAGAGGAAGAGAAAGAGCCACTGATGGAGACTGAGAAGATGAGAATGCATGGATAGAAGGAATACCAGGAGAATATGGTAGAAGAATTCAATGGGAGAGAATATTTCAGAGAAGAGACTGTGGTCAGTTATACCAAGTGATGTAAAGGAGTCAAATAAGATGAGAACTCCAAGGTATCCATTGCTTTCATGTGACTACATGGAAGTTACTGATGCTCTCAGAGAGGGCATTTCAGAGGAGGGCTGAAGGTAGATGCCAGTCCAGAGTGAGTGGGGTGGAAATTAAGACTGGAGATAGTGAGTACAGACAACTCTTTCAAGAAATTTGGCCATGATGGAAAGAAAAGGGGTCAAAGTGGTGTCTCTTTGTCTTTGTTTTTTTTTAAAAATGTGCAAGATGTATGTTCAAATGATGACAGAAAGAAATCATTAGAAAGGGATGGGTGAAAATACAGTAATGAGAGTGAGTGGGTGGTAGTAAAATGCCCTTAGGAGAAGATGACTGGATGGGGAATACAAGTGGATGATGGGCCTTGGATAGATGGAGAGAGACAGTCATTATGATGGGAAGGGTGGAGAAAAAAACATGTTAAGATGCTGGTGGGGTTATAAGATTGGTTAGTTTTTAATCTAATGGCTTCTGTCAAGTTTATGGTAACTCTGCTGAGAATCGGGGTCTCTGCTGTGAGTCTGGACTGAAAGGAAGAGTTGGAGATTGGAGAAGAGTGAAGAGGATTTGAAACAGGCATTGAAGAGTGAGAAAGTGACCTAATTAGAGAGATATGTTTAGTTTGCTGGGCAGTGAATGAGAACCTAGCTGAGGTTGAACAGATAATGGATTCAATTGCCTTGTGGTTTATGTATTGTTTCCAGCAGGGCTCAGTGATTGAGGAGGGCACAGGGAAAACAGGGTTGGATTTATGTACAGTTATGATTTTCCTGGATGGATATCATAAGGAGGTTCCAGAAACTGATAAGAAAACAGTTGAAAAGATGGACTATGGAATCTAAACTGGTTGTGGAGAACGTAAAGACAGAAGTTGGTTAAACAGAAAGTATATGGGCCAATGGACAAGAGGGCAGGATGAGAACAAACAAGTAAAAGGTGTTGAAAAAACTCCCCATCATGGGGGAAGACACTATGGTCACAGAGTTTGGAGGATCAACTGTTGTGATGAAAGAAATCAGAGCCAGAGTGTGACCCTGGAGGTGGAAAACTAAAATGTGGTTCAGATCAGTGACAGGGAGGAGGTCACAGACCTGAGAGGACAGACGTTCTTCAGTGCCCTAATATAAACAAGATGTACTCATATACAACCTTCTACAGGGTTTGCATTTCTCCTCTCTTGTATAAGTCATTAATCCTCCTGAAACTGGCCTTGATTACCATGTTTATTTTCTTTTATATGGATAACCAGTTGTTTGGGGGCAATTTATTGGATAGTCATTTAATCCCCAAATATCCCTTGAATTTATTCCTCACTATCATGCTTTATTCCATCTTCATCACCTTTGGCATGAAGTAATGTGGTACCCTCTGTTTCTCCTCTCCAAAGCTCATATTCTATAAATTGCTGTAAAAGTTACATTCCTAAAATACAAATAGGACCATATCACCCCCCTGATTAAAGTGCTTAAGTGACTTCTTATTACCTACAGAATAAAGACAGACTCCCACACCTGGCATATTTAAGACATTTCACAAAATTTATCTTTATGATATTTCTTTGCTTATCACATAATTCTTATTTTCTGGCATTATTCACATTTGTACTCAAATGCTACTGTGTAGAAAAGCAAGTGATTCAAATTAACTTTTAAAAATATTTTAGGCTGGGCACGGTGGTTCATGCCGATAATCCCAGCACTTTGGGAGGCCAACATGAGAGGATTGCCTGAACCCACAGGATGGAGACCAGCCTGGGCAATTTGGCAAGACCTCATCTCTACAATAAATCAAGAAAAATTAGCCAGGCATAGTGGCGCACACCTGTAGTTCCAGCTACTTGGAAGGCTAAGGTGGAAGGATCGCCTTAGCCCAGTAGGTTGAGGCTGCGGTGGCTATGAGTTTGCTACTGTACTCCAGCCTGGACAACAAAGTGAGACTCCAACTTAACTTAAAAAAAAAATTCTACCAGAACTATTAATTGGGATCACATTTGCTAGATTTTAAAAATTACAATTCATTTATATGACATTTATTTGGCATCTACTATGCATTAGACACTATAAGTTTCTTTAAACAGTTACAATTTAAAGAAGCACAGAAACCATGAATGCTAACGTCTGTACAAGGAGAAGAACATGTGTAGCGATAGGCATTTAAATAACTGTTATGAGAGTTCTGATAAGGGAGAAACGGTATTTTGTTTGATGGAAATCAGTGGAGACTGTGGAAAAATTGGCTTGATCCATTTTGAAAGATGGATAAAATTTATTAAGTCAGAGAAGGGGATGGGAGAGCATTTTAGGTGGAGGGCGGGTCAATAAAAGCAAGATAAGTGGGGAGTAATGACTGTAGAGTAGGGGAGAAAGACGAGGGACTGCAGAGAGACTGAGACCAGAGCTCACAAATTCTTCAAGGACAGGTTAATAGATCGGGCTCTAGTTTGCAGGCTTCATGGATCAGTGAAAGTCTCCATGAAGGAACTGATATTATTAGGTCATGAGATGATCAAGTGGTTTAGAACTCAGAGAAATTACATCCAAGTGGATGACCTGATAGTTTAGGCATGGTATGCTGGTGGCTTGTCCCAGGAGGTGGAAAAGTCAGGAAAAATGCTAGAGAAATTTCAGAAGCAGAACCCACAGCAGTCTGATGCCCAAAGAAAGTAGGGGGAAAGGGCCCTGTTTCAGCTCCAGAAAATGAAAAGGTAAGAACTACATGAAGTATTCCTGTATTTCATTAAGCACCATTTATAGTTGCAATTGCCTAAATGAACATTTTTATACTTTTTTGGTGGCTTTTAAAGCTATTTATTATTTAAAATTATTGTCCTAACTTTATATCTCACATTAATGGTTTTATTCTTGTCTCCTTCTTTCATATGTGACAGCTTCTGCTGGACATGGTTGGGTCTCCTGATCAGGATCTCCAGGAAGCTGCAGCTGGTTGTATATCCAACATCCGCAGGCTGGCTCTTGCTACAGAAAAGGCAAGGTACACTTGAAATAGGAACTGACATTACTAGCTACCAAATTTTATGTGACCCAGGATATGTCACGACCACATACCGAAAGCCTAAATTACGAAACATTTATTAGAAAATTCTTTAAGTAGTCTGACTGAAAACATACAAATTGAAAATGCAGAGGATGCTATTTATCTGAGAATTGCATGGATATTTTATTTCTCTTTAATGTTTTAGGGATATGCCATGTATTAAAATGTGAAACCAATAAATGTGTGATAATTTTCTAAGATTTGGGAATGTGTGTATAGTCTCTCTCTCTCTTTCTCTCTCTCTCTCTCTCTCTCTCTCTCTCTCTCTCTCTCTCTCTCTCTCTCTATATATATATATATATATATATATATATATATTTCAGTGGTGCTTGTATTTGTGGTGATTTTAATAAAGGACGTGGCCTTCCCAGTGTGCAGTTTCATAGTCATTCATGAATGTCTCTAGAATTCCCTTTCTGTTAAACCAATCTAACTGTGCTGTCATTATGGCTTTGTCTGTTTGATCACTTGCAACCCACGGGAGAGTTCTGAAGAGATGTGCTGATTTCACCAACTGCTATTAAATAGAATTTAGAGTTAAGCAGCTGGACTTAGAGAGATCATCCTGAGGTCATCCCAGATTCTCCTAATGACTACCAAACATTTGAGAAAATTGTGTATAACTGTCACTGTACCATAATACAAATCACAAGAACATAAGCAATGAGTTTTTTTAATCTCTGGGCTTACAAAGCATAAACAATTATATGTTTTATTTCCCTCATAGAGATTCACCAACACTTTTATTAAAATTAATTTATGCTGATATAAGGATAATATTACTTCACATAAAATTGCCTTGAATTTCTGAACTTGTTTTCAGCACACAAAGTACTTTTTAAAAAGTGGCTACAAAGGATTAATAGCATTTTATCAGGTTATAGAAACATTAGAACCCACTTAAAAGAATCACATATGCAACCTCAGTGTGCTAAAATGTTTGGGAACTAACTGTCCTGAGCATCATAATACTGGCCAGAAAAATAGCTTTGTATGCATCAGCTCTGTAAATGGACAATCTCAGTTAACACTTTAAAAAGCAATCAAGGAGGTTTTACTGAAAAATATTAGATGGCGTACGTGCTTGTCATAATTTAAAGATGATCATAAACTTAATTGAATTAAATGTAAATAATTTTAAGAAATGAAAAGCCTGCCGAGGATGAAATTTACACCCATGATAGGTGCTCCAATAAAAAGATAAAGTACTTCTGAAAATTTTAAGGTTTTGTAAAACACCAGTTAATCTTCACTACTTTTCAAAGGAGGTTATAAAAGAGGATCATATGAACATGGAAATGGTATTAGCACTAAATAAGAACTGCATTGAAATAATAGAGGGTCTCCTTTAACTTTCAACAGTAAATATTTCTAATATTAAAGTCACTGTTTAGCTTTGTTTCACTACCATTAAAAACACATCCAGAAACCATGGA